TTTGATCAAAACGTAAGATCTCAGGAAAAAAAAAAGGATAATAATAAAAAAATGTGTATTATTTGTGCTCATATAAATCTACGAGTAAATAGCTTCTACGAGTAGTAATACAATTTTATTATCGTCATACTGATTTTTTTTTTCAGGCAATGTTAATTATAGTACATAAGAAACATGATACATTCGTTTATATCGTTGTATTGCATTTATTACGTTTATTTTTATACATGTTCTATTTATACGAGTACAATAATTTAACGTCAAAAAAAAGTAATAATTAATAATTATAACGTTATAATATACGACATTAAATATTCAAATAATATGTGGTAGTAAATCGCATGCTATAAGGCAATAGTTAATGTATACCGGCAGTGTAAACGAGTTTTCACTTTTCAACTGTTGACCGAAAATGCATTCTTCAGACAAATTATTTTTGGATATTTTTGAAGAACTTTACTATGATGAGCGTGCGTGCATTTTATAAACAGTTTGCTTACATAAAAATAAAAAAATCGGTCAAGTACACTATTTATTCATAATTGCCACGCCATAAATTATGTATAAGTTGAACTATGATAGTCTCATATATTAGATTATATAATTGTATAACATATAGTAAGACGTACAATATTAATAGGGTGGTTCGATGAGATTCAAGGATGTGATTTGTTAATCGGTCGGTCAAAATAAAAAATATTTTTTACTATTTGCAGTGAACCATTGACTATTCGACACTGATTAATCAAAATTGATAATTGTTGATATGCATAAGTATAATTAGGTATTTTTACAAATACTGATTCGCAATCGATCTACATTCCACTTCAACAACTTTTTGTGTATTCTTGTAAAAAGTACAATACTTATATACATAAAACAACATTTTATAAATTTATAAAATATGATAATATTTACTATCCATAATATTGTATATGTCCCATGGTAATCCATGACTATAAATCGCTAAAATAGCTTAGCTAGCTTAGTTTAATTGTTAAGATTATCAGATCAACAAGTATTCGAATATATAGTAAAATTTGATACTTGCATTTTTTCTCGAAATTTAATGGTAAACGGACAATATAATGGCTTTGATTCAAAACGATTTCCGTGAAAGTATGAAAGCATTGAACTATGATAACAAAGCACATTATATTTCATATAATAATTCGTATTTAAATACGTATTTACTAAAAATAGAATTTAATACTTTTTAATTTAAAAATAATATAAGAATTTTTATTTATCAATTAAAGTATTATAAACAAAATTTCAGAAAGCGGTGGACCCAAATATTTAGACGGTACATTTAAACCCCGTTTTCATTAAGTAAAAGAACTTTAAATTAAAAACGAAGGAACGAATGGTAAAATATTAATAATAAACCCAGTTCACAATAAATTACTGGTGGAATTATTCAAATGCTTTTTAATGGATAGATTTCAATTGCAACAAAAAAACAACCGGGTATGTTGTTGTTATCATTTAAAAGTTTCAGTAGTAATAACTTATTCACAATGTTGTCAATACATGTAAATATAGAAATTCACCTTTAAAAAAATTAAGTATTTGATTTATTAATGCACAAGAACACTAAATTAATAAATATTAATACTAATTAAAATTACTTATTTAATAGTTTTTAATTATAATTAAATCAATTACTTAAAAAAAATATATACCGCTATCATGTAATTATTTGTAAGTAAATATTTTTTTTATATGAATTTCCTAAGGGGAAAACAACAAGTTATGTATATATAAAATTGTAAGAAGATTGTAACCGTTATGGCTGTCTATATACTTACTATCCCTGAACATACTATGATTATAAAATACACTTAGAATTGCCTTCAAGCGTTATCGGACTACATGTTTTTACAAGATACTTCCATCACTAGTACATAGTACAGTATGTCTACCCATTGTACAGAAATATAAGAAAACGAGAAATTATGCACAGTTGAACTGTATACAATAAAAATAAACAACTGTAAAACAATATACAGTATTTTCGAAAATAAAATATGTAAAATAATTATGGTAAATAATAAAAAATTTCTTCGGTTCACACGTGCCCTTGTTCCGTAACCGCAGAGTAGAGAAAGTAAACAAAAAAAAAAAAAATTAAAAAAAATACCGCATTTCAAGTGGAAGTGTACACATACTACGTCTACACGTATGGGCGGCGTTAAAGGGCAATTATGAGTGACGTTAATGAACTTCCGGAGGCGATCGACCTTCGACCACGAAATTGTTTTTGAAAGTGAAAACACCCGTTAGCGCAGGGTATACCGGTCGAAATATTTTTATTTATATTTTATCAATGAAGTTGTATAATGTGAATTTTATCTAATTGTATGCGTTATTATAATAAGAACGAAATTCGCACGTGTTGTGAGTACTGCAATATGCAAGGACGGAAGTGCTCTTGGTTAAGTCTCTTGAAAAATCGTGTTTTTAACTACTCTTATCTCTACAATTCGTTTCGTTAACTGTATATAATCTTCCACTATATACTATCAGGTTTCAAGCGTTAACGACGTTTACAATATTTTATGACAAATTGAAACATAACGTGCACCGGTACGAATTTAATGTCAGTATAAGTTATATACAGTCATGAACTAACTTTATGAAATGATACTCCTAAATAAGACACTTAAACGTACTTTGAAGAAGTTGATGAGCGACACGATATATTATTAAATTATTACGTTGCGTGTATACAACATATACGTGTAGTTAGTACATCATAACAATTAATCATGCACCGCAAATTAACTTTTTAGTGCATTTCCATTATGTACAATTGAATTACATTGTCACGGATACAATTTATATTAATTTATAAAATTGTAAACATGATTTTCGCGTATTACAAGATAGTTTTATGTAGGTTAGGACCCATCTGTAAAGAACCAACATCTTTGTAATAGACTTCAACAAACTGTGAAGAAACCTTTTATTAATTCAATTACATATGAGTACATTTAACAAAGTTCTTTCACAAAGCCATTAAAATATATATATATATATATATATATATATATACTTATATATTAAGCATTGATTATTTTTTACTCCAAGTATCTGTTCTCAGTGTGCTATGTTTGTTTGAATTGGAATTTATTATTTTTATTAGATATGACGAAAAAATTATAATTTATACGTTAATGGATTATAATATTTAAGCGTTCGGTTAGTAGTTCAAACATGATACGAGTAATATTAATTTACAGCATTAAATAGGTCAATACGTCGAAACATTTTGAATACGAGTGTATTGGAGAAAAAAATGTTCCCCAACATAATATAAATAAATTCTAATGAATCATCGTTCGTAACCAATAAAAATTAAACGTATATTATATGTATTTATATTTTTCGTATTCTTCATTAGGTACTATGTATTCAAAATTGAAGTCTAAATAAAATAAAATATGAACGTCCTGCAGGAACCGCGATTCTCAATGGTTTTCGACATTAAGTGAATACGGTGTTATGATCGCATGGAAATGAATTATGAACGGGTCACGAATTGAAAAATCGAAGACATAATTATTATCGTAGACCTACGCCCGTGACCTATGTCCATGCGAACGCGATTGCGCCGAATCGGAAATTAAGTTTGTACGGTAGAACTCAATGCGCGCACGGACAAATAATTATGCATGATTTTCCTGCCCGGATATAATTCGTCAAACATTCAATTTACTTTTTATAATATGGCGTTGCGCAACGGCCACTGCACCTGGTCACGTGTAGTGAGAGTAGGTAATTTTTCGTCCACAGCGATCGTATTATTATTACTGTTGATATGTTGCACTCGGAGAGGGGAAAAAATATTATGCGAAATAAAAGTTGTTGAGGATCAGTAACCAGATTTACAGTATTTATCTTGGCCGGTTTACATCATATCACGTCCGACCTTCTTTTCTGTTTGCGAATTCCCGAACAAGCCGTTCTCGAATAAGTGTTGATATAAGCAGTCTGTTATCTCGGAGCGAATTGGTCGGAGCACTCTAACAGCTGATGGGATAAATTTAAAACCGTTTTCACAATACTATACACCTGTGCAAGTGTCAAGTGTCCATCGTTGCGTTCACTCTTTTTCGTAACTCCATACCCCGACCCCCGACCACACATGTCCTTAATGTGGTATTCAACTGAGATTTACTCAACTACAAATAGTCACTTGCGCAGTCTCTCGCAGCTATTTACGATTGTGGCTTATTAATAATGTAAATCGTGTTTCATAAATAATATTTTGAGAACAGTCATAAATTATTATAACTTTCGCAGAAACACAATTTTCACTATTGGATCGTTGATTGATTTAAAGTTTACATTATAATACAATATTACCAGTATATTACTCTAATCGTGCGCCGTCAGATTAATAAATTCAATTAAAATAAATTTGACATTGTCGAAAAACCGATAGTAATTATTTTTACCTGATTAAACGTATTTACTTAAGTAAATATTATCCAATATTAATAAATGTTAGCCTTTTAATTATTTATTTCTGTGAATACATAATATGTTATAGTTGTTATAATTTATTTTCAATACCGATTAAAACACTCACTATAGTAAGTATTAAATAAATTGACAATGATATTTAAAAATAAAAAATAAATAAACCGAATTGAATGCATAGTTATGATGATAACCGAGTGGAATCATAACCGAGAAAACATAATATTATAACAAATTTTTAAAATCTAAAATTATTTTTAAAATACAGTATAGACAAAAGGAAAAAATTGTATTCAATAAATTTGTATAAATTCGTTAAATAAAATGTTGATCTTTATGGTACATATGGTATTTTGAAATAAGTATTTTAGAAATAATTATGTTTCATGCGCTACCGGGAAGATTTATAACTTATACAAAATTATCGTATACCTTTCGGTATTTTATTATATACTCAGTTTAAATGCCTATTTTCATAAATTTTATTTCATATATTGACTGCAGTACTTTACCTGATGTTGTGAATGCCAAATTCCATATTTTTCACCCGATTGAATATTACTAGGATTCTGGGTTCGTAGTTTTCGTCCCACTCGTGAATCCAAGATAGTCAAACATTATCGGTATTTGTTTTATTGATTTTCTACCGGCTCTACTACACGGTCGACGGTTGAACCGATAATTAATTTTGTTCGAAAACGGTTCCGTGGAAAAAGAGCGGAAAAATTTTTTTCTATTTTTTTTAAAAAAGTTTAAAATTTACTGGTAACGACGGATAAACCACGCGGACGGCTTCGACTGATTACGACTACGAGCCACGGTATATTTATATCGTTATTATCTAATTTGCTTTTGTCCATCAAACATTATGTCTGTTCGGATACTGAAGCGTCACGGCGGAATCGCTTTCCATTTCAGCCGCCCCACTATAACAACGGTACGGCGTTCGTACGTTTGGATTACGTCTGTGTGCAAGAGTACCGTGACTTGAATGCTGAGGACCGGTTGGGTTGGGTCAGGTGAACGGTGTAGCGCGCTTAGCCGATCATCTGATTTGTTTTTGATGTTTTTTTTTTCTTTTTATTACTGTTATTCTCTTATGCTCCCGGAAAAATACTGCACATAACATAACGATGCCATTTTGGACGTGGAGGCAGGGGGCATAAAAAGTAATATTTTGTTTTTGTTATGAAATTTGACTAGAATTTAAGGTAGGTCACACGTATAGTAGGAGGCGCCGCCCCTCAATCGTGACATATTTTATCAAATATAATGCAGACGTCGACTGGAATCTCTGAACAATTCATTTTGCAAATCATCACAACTGTTATCCCAATCAGATAGAATATGATCCGTTCAGATGCTCTTTGTTCAACGAACCAAATTGATTTCGTATAATTATTATAGAATTTATTATGTGAATAAAGTGAACTCGAACATCGTACCCTGTAATGTTTACACAAAAAATTAAATACACATTTTCAAATTATATATTATCATATCATAATAATAATAACATTTGTTTTACCCACTTTGACTTTTAAATTTGAAAATTAAAGCATTATTACTGCTACAGGGTTTTCAATATAGTTTTTTTTTTAAAAGGATGAGTAGAATAATTTATGAACGAATACGGTTATGTTAATTTACATAAACTATACATCGATTTTGGTGAATAATAATAATAATAATAAATAATAACAGTTCAAAAGTTACTTTTAAACATTGCATGAAAACAATACTCGTGTTTGACTAAAGAATAAAAATGAAACCTTAATGTTGCATAAACATAAAAAAATTAAGTTTTGATGAAACTCTTAAGATATTACTGTGGTACAATTAATATTTCAACTACACTGATCAAGTATAGTTAAAAAATAAACAATTTAATTTGATAATTATTTAGAGAACTTAACAATGCATACCTGTAGACTCAGGTTTGAATAGAACAATTGGAAATTTATATTTAAAAATGTATTTACAAACTATTATATAACACAATAATGAATTTAACATTTTGTGAAAATTATTATTTTTATCAAAATTGAAATCTACATAACAGTCCAGTATATTTCTGTGACTCAATTATCTATTCATTTTTAGTTGTAAAATTATTTTAAGCTTAACAAAACGCAATGCAAGTACAATCCATTGAATTAAAATAAATAATTTGTAACAATTTAAATTGTTTTAATGATTTAATAATTATTGTTTGACTAAAAAATAAAAACTATTCAATGTTGTCTATGAATATAAAATGCATTCGATTCCTTCTAGTGTAGGTGACACGTGACACATAGTTTAATAAATATAATTTTAATTATACCTCTATTATTAAATTATAATTATACTTTATGACTATATACCTACATTGACTGTAAATATGTAAATTGAATTATTGTTTACTATTTAAAATGTGCTAACCATTATTTTAAAAATAAAACATTACTGTATGAAAACATAATTTAAATATTTAATAGATAAATGTGAAATAATAATAATATGATAGAAATTACTGCTGAAATAACTGCCGTAAAAGATTTTGTAAAGATAATTTTTCTGTGTAACAATAAATAACTTACAAACTAGAGGCACAATATCATATGCAATATCTTACATATGTATTCGCGATAGCGGAAAAAAAACAATTAGATTTGTAATCCTCTTTTTTCAAAATAATTTTATAACAGTAAACATAAATAACAATCTAATGATATTCTTCTAAATATATTTAACGTCGGATTAATTTCTTATAAAACATCGATACAATATGTACTCAATTTCATATATTATATAGCTTTATAATATTTTGAAACCATGAAATCTAATAATTATTCTCTATTTATTACACTGTTTAAAATAAATAAAACTTAATACATTTTATTTAAGAAAAATGTGGAATATTATGTTATAAATGCAAATGAGTGACAATATTTTATGTAACGTTGTACCTAATTATATTGGAGTCTTTCCTCAATACATTATTTTGTATATTTGTAGTATTCCTAACATTTACTATTGCTTCGGATTAATTACTCGCACAATCGCAATAAAATCTTTAGCAATGAAAGTTATTGCTAAGTAATACTTCGTACATAATCACAAAAATGAATGGAATCTAATCACAATAACCATAATCATGTTATTAACACTTTACGGTGTAGATTAGGATTATAATACAATGATATTCGTTTTTAAAATATCACTAAAATCAATATTTTGTTTTATTTTCGATGGTTATTCACATATTAAAAATACAACAATTCCTTTTTTTCGAAATATTTAACGACATCATGAACTGAGCAATTCGTAAAGTCACCGTTCTAATGTAGGTTACTTGCAATAATCAACAACATTATATAATGTTGAGTTAAAATAAAACATTTTATTAAGAGTCTGGGATACGATTCACTATTTTCAATTTAATATTTGCGACCCAGTTTACACAAATAAAAACTCGTTTTATCGACAGTAAAAAATAAATAAACAAATAGAATTTAAATAAAATCATTTAAAATAGAAAAAATAACTTAAATTAGGTTGTATCTACTACACGCTGAATATTATTCCAATTGATCTAAGTTCCTAAATTTAATTATATTTAAATAATGATAATAGGTAAAAATATTTTATATTAAACATATTTAAAGCAAATCGCTAATCTTAATATTCGTAACAGTTCTAACATTTGAGGAATATATAATATTATATTGCATGATGAAAGTTACGTATACTACGTATTCATCATAATCAAAACTCAAATCGAAATCAACAGATGTAAAGTTTAATTCGATGGAACTAATTACAACAAATATACATTTATATACAAAATTATATGTTATATTTTATAAGGTAATGTTGAAACACATATTTATACGTTTTCATATTTTTTTAAACTAGTGATGTAATAAGCTATGTGAACAATAATTGTTTTTGGAATATTATATAAAAATTAAACCAAAATAAGATTGTAAACTATAGTCTGAGAAAACTGAAGAGTTGAGTTCAAATTGGATACTTCCAAGTATTAAATATCAATGCTTAGGCTTAAGATTTTCAAGTGAATATTTTCTATTACTGAATAAAAAAATTATTTAAAATTTAACCTTTGATGCTGATGCACGTTAAAACTGTAACATTTTTAAAATATAGTAATTTTGCAATGTACAATATATTATTGCTATACATCAGTTAAATTAATTTATAGGTACCTAAATATTTACAAGCTCACATCTTAATCTCTAATTTTAAAATTATTAAATTAAAATCTATTTTTATTGCAACGAAGAAGTAAGTCATTCTGTTCTTCGATTCCAATTAATAAATATTAAAAATTCAAAAAAATTATATTATAATTATGATTGTTTAATACTAATATACATTTATCCATAAATTAATAACAAAATCAAAGTGCAGATGAAAATAATTTATAAAATAAATAGGTTTCAAAAATTCGTTTAATTTTTAGTGAAATTAAAAAAACTAATTTAGTTTTTAATTTTAATTTTACATTTTTAATATCTATCAAGTCATTATTAAAATAAGCTTTTTATTTGTATAAGTTTCACAATAAAGTATATAAGTACTCAATAGGTATCCATACATTTTGTTATTTTTTTAAAATATTTTCACTACGTTATTTGTGTCTAATATATAAAAATTAAATTTTACAGACTTTCTGGTAAAAAAAGATAAAAAAAAAATTTAATAAGTACTTTTATAACTATAATGTTATAACTTGTCATACACAACTATTAACTTGCGTATATTAACTTATACTTACGTTTTACACAAATCGCTAATATTCATTATTATTATTAATAAATTATTGGGATTGATAAATTTTAACAGAACATAGAAATTCCTTCCCTTTCGTTGTATTGATAATGTTTAATTCTTAAGTAATTAAAAACTTTTATATCAATGGGAAAACATGAATGAGTTGATCCTCAGTAAAGTAACGCAATCGGATGACAGCACCCGAAATAGAGGCCATGTGGAAACATATTATTTGTCATGAATCAAACAAATGTTATGTGCGAATCGTGTTCATCTGCACAACCCATGAGCTACTTTGATCCCTAATTTAATAATTAATACATAAAATCACTCTCATACAAAATTAACCAGATACTAAGTTTAATTTCCATGTCATCAGAACGGAATCGACAAAATATGAAATCAGAGTGATGGAAAGCAACAATTAGGTCAGAAAGAATAATGAAACAAAAATTACAATAAATGCGCATGGATAAGGAAATTTTTAGGAACATTAACCAGAAGTCAGTAGAACTTCCGAATGATCAAGCTTTATATACCATGCTTGCATTTTATTTATTTTATTTTATTATTCTCGTACATAATGAAAATCACTACAATGCCATAGTACGCCTGTTGTACTGCCATCGTTTGGAAACGCAAAATACATAAGAATATAGTTATTACTATTAAAAGTTTGCAAAATAGTTTACTTGGAATAAATAATTAATTTGACACCTTTGTTAAGGTTCGAAGAAAACATCAAAGACGAGTTGCTGTTGTAATGCGAAAAAGTTTTCAGAAAAGGAGAACGAGTAGGTACGACTAAAATATAAATTCCTGAAGAAACGCTTCATGTAATATATTAAATATAACATAATATCTGCAAGTTTATTGTTAATTTTTTGATTTTCGTAGGTGGTAATATGCTACAAAGACAATGTACTATACTCAACACACCTTGATTATTATAATTATCGAACGATGTACGGTTAATCACAAATCGTATAAAAAAGTCGTGCAACTTATAGATTAACTTAAAACCGAACAACGACCGACCGCGAAAAACGTGAAATGGATAAGATCGAATAACGATAAATTTCTGCGATATTCTGGAAATTAATTTATTCG